CTGCAGCGCGGCTGTGAATAGCTTAGGCGAAATAGTGACGCCTTGTCTCACACCCTTCCCTATGGGAATGGGGAGAGGTCGTTGGAACAGCTTCACCGTCGCGCTACAACGACTGCTGCAGTCAGCTAGTGTTCTTATGTGGGGAGGGTCCACTCCTTGATCGACCAGTGCTGACAGGACCGCATTCGTTTCGACGCTGTTAAAATCTTTTTCATAGTCGACAAAGGTAAGGACAAGAGGCATTCGGAATTCTCGACACACTTCGATGACCATTGCGACCGCTTGGATGTGGTCTAAGCAGCTGAATCCCTTCCGGAATCCGGCCTGCTCTACAGGTTGGGCTTCATCCAGCGTTCGCGATATGCGGGCCAGAATGATCTTCGTGAACAGCTTGTAAAGCACACTTAACAGAACCATTCAAAAAACGTAATTTTGCTGTTCTCATGGAAATCTTGTTGTGAGTGGTTGCACATCCGATGTTTATAGCCAGAACGTGATAGTTTATTTGTTGAGTAATGGATTTTTTGTATTTTTTTTTCGTTTATGGAAAAGATGCAGGATGCGTGTCTCAACTTAGGCGAGTCAACAACCTTCAGTATTTTTTCACCATACACTCTCTGTTAAAACCGGAGATGAACCGGGGTTTCTGCATACGATAGGAATGGCAATGAAGCTTCTGAGTGACATTCTTCCATTTCATCAACCCTTATAAGCCGTGCATGTTGAGTTACTTCTAGTTGGTCACCCAGGACCACCATCGTCTCGTAAACGTATCGTTTTTATAGTCCTCTCTTCAAAAACACAGGCCTTTTAAACGCTTCCTGGTTGATCCGTTTGAATCTTCTTTTCCATATCATTCAATAGCCTCCTATACGGATTTTATAAAAATCACAAGGAATTTCATAATGCTCTTCCAACTCCCGCACGCCAATTATTGCAAGTGGCGTTGAACGAGCCTCCTCCATACAAAAGATATTAGGAGTTTCACCTCAATAATCATGCATTTCGTGAGAAATGCTTCCTTACTATTGATTAGTTGCAGTTGGAGTGAACTTCATATATTACTTGCACCCTATTAGATTCTGAATTTTGGCACCCTTAACTTTGAGGTACCCTGTCGTATAACATTGGAACAGGAAGTTGCTGCGGCTTGTTTTGAGCGCGCACAAGATGAGCCATACTGTTGATAGACAGAGTTCCTCTAATAGTCAGCAACATATCAAAGAACTTCCCAAACTCAGTTTTGCCCTCAGCACTTTTTTTACAAAGTGTGTTATTATTTCTTGAAAAGTCCACTTTCATAACTGTTACTCTCAGGTTTGGAAATTTAGAACCATTTTCAAAAATCCTTCCACTTCATCTCCCAGAACTTTTGGGATTAGGAATCAATTTCGTACTTCTGTACTTTGTACTTGAAAGACTAGCAGAGGTGTCTTGCAATCATTTCCGGGAGTCTTTCTAGCACTTTCATCGGTCCAATCAGTTCCATATTTACTATATACTATACATTAGGTTAATTCATAAGTCGTCCTCCCTTTGTTTTTACATATTCCAATAGCGAGCCAGAACGAAGATTAGAGATATGCACCGTCACCATTCACTGCTCACGCTTAGGCAGCTTACCGATTTCAGCCCCCCAGAAGGATGGGAGCCGGGACTAGGAGAAGTCGAGTGCCCCTGCGACCTCATCCTCCGTGTCAAACTTATGAAAATTATACGGCAGAGTGGACGAGTGATAGTGATGGAAGAGTATCACGCACAGTCATGCGCACGTAATGACGCAATACCAACATCCATGCAAATGAAAAATATGGAAGGATCAAACATGGAAGAAAAAATATATGCATGAACTACTTATATATATATATATATATATATATATATATATATATATATATATATATATATATATATATAACACTTCACGCAGCCGCAAAAATTTTTCCAGTGACAACTATCGCCTTTGGACTCATGTAGATGAAGAAACCGCAGCAACCATGACTGGTCACCTTATTTCTAAAGAATATGTATATCAGCTTTAGTAGCGGCGAATTGCATCGCGACCACGCGGATCTCGTTCACTAAGGGTTCTATCTCACTGCAGGATCCCAGTCAGTTAGGCGTAGGACGCCGGCAGGTGCCGTATAGGGCGATTAATCGCCGACCAGAAATCGCCAGTACCTAGCCAGAGACGCAGGCGGATTCAGGGGACGGACTCTCCGGTTCTGCTGTGCTGGTCGATATAC